GGTTGGATTTTTCCCCCTTTCTCAGCCTTTTCAATCTGTTTGGTTTGCCCAAAGTCAGGATGCCTGGTGGTCCTGGCCTCATTGCCAGCATGTGGTATATCCATGGGACTGCAGTGTGGTTAATTGCAGGAGGCGTCTGTGGGGGGACACTGCTGCTGCAGGTGAGGGGATGAGGTTCGCTGGGTTTCTTCTGCAGATTTGAGCCCAGTGCTGTCCAGCTGCATAGCTCTGACTGGCGCTTGGGTCTCATCCTTGCCAGCACTAGAAGCATTAACTTCCATCACACACAAACCCTGTAGTCGCCGCAGTTGTGCCAGATGTATGTTGGTATCTTAATTACTAAAATGTCATAGCTGTCCTCAGCAAACTTCCTATTCCGAGTAGTTTATTTTTACCTAAACTGGTAGGTGTACTTGGAGAAAACTATTGTAGCTGCTGTAGTTGGATGTGGCACTGTGTATCTGGGCAGAGGTGGGGCTGAAATCTACAGAGGTAACTTCTCAGCTTGAAATCTGTGGGGATGTGGCTGATGAAGACTGAGTTTTGAGGTTGTGGCTTGAGAGAAATCATGAAATGCTTTGGCTTTGGAATGAGCTGGTAAGAATTGCCTCTGGGGGGGACATGTCTGCATTTTAGAATACCAGTGGCTTCTGATGTGTCAGAAGCTGATAGTATTAAAAGGAGAATAAGGTGCTTAAAAGTAGTTGTGAAATAAAAGACAAGTCCTTCTGAGGCCACAGTCAGGCCATGTAGACAATCTGTGTTTTCACTTGTGTATTTTGAGTTTGGGAAGAAGATGGCAGCTGATTCAAAGTGGAAAAGAAGGATTTGTGCAATTACTGGAAGTGTATTCTTGTATTCCAGCATAGGATTCCCTGCTTAGTTTGACATGCAGAGGGAGGGGAGGGAGCCCATCTTCATTCTTCATGGAAGCATTATTTAGAAGCTAGTGTTTGTACTGCATCTCGCTTGCAGAACACATGTACCTGTACTACCTGCTGTTACTTGTTCTCTGTGTACTGAAACTTTGGTGCAGAAGCTCCTTGTTTACATGAAGCACTTTCTGGTTAGGCTGGAAGTTAACATCTTTTCCTCCTGTAAATTTGATGGAATAACAGATTACTGACTAATTTGGCTTGAGGATAGAGGTATGAACATTTAATTTTTCTTGCATGAGGAAGACTCGTGCTTCTTGTTCTATTAAAGAGCAAGCTCAGACTTTCATTTAGTGAGCAACACGCAAAAACTTCTTATTCCCCTTTCCCTTACCCCCTCCTCATTTCCTTAATTCGTGAAACAGATTCTTCCTTTTAAATGTTTTGTTGTTCCATGGAGTTACTGTAGCTGTGTATTAATAACTGCTATGTTGACTGGCAGTTTCTTCTTGTATTTTTCCTGTTCTTAGGAGTTTCATCTCTGAAAGTTAAGGCTGTGGCCACCTGTACCTGTAAGCCTTGGGTTTTGGTCCTGGAATGTCCCAAATGTTTGTCTTGGGGGTTTCTTTGGTTTGGGTCTGGGGGAGGAGGGCTGGGGTTTGGGTGTTTTTTATTTGGAAAGAATACTCGTGCTGTTTGAGGCACCATTCTTCCTTCTAACATTTACTTGTTTCTAGTAGAGGGGGTGCTGAGCTCTGCAGAGTGCAGGGAGCAGCAGCAGAGGAAATTGTAAAGCTGTGTTGGGTCTCTGTAGTTGCCTGTACTGCCAGAAGGCAGCCCAGCCTTCAGCAGCGTTCCGGTTTTGTTTCTTGTCCTTGTGTTGTTACTGGTATAAAGTCAAGTGCCTTCAATGCTAAAGGCTCAGAAAACTTTCTTAAACTGACTTCATGTCCTATGCAAGTGTTTTTTCTACAACCTGCATAACCAGTACTTTGTAAAACTTGTTTACGCTTCAATTGTACATAGTGTTTTTTAAAAAATATAGTATTTTTATTTAGGTACCTCCAAACTTGAATTCGAGTCTTGTGTGATGCATTGTAAAACAATACATTTCTCTTTTGAGTACCATTACAGTTGTAAAAAGGTTTTCACTGGTTCTATTTTTCTACTGTTGCTGAGAAGCATGCAACACTGACTTTATCCTACATATAGTCGGCGTTTCAAATAAATGGCTTGTATAGAACGTGCCTGTGCGACTTCTTCCTGTGGTCTGTTAGCACCGGCTGCCTCCGGGCTGGCTGCCGGGCTGACCCGAATGTGCCGTGCTGTGACTGATGCTGAAGCAAGAGGAGTGGTTCAGTACAGATGAGCTGTAGGTGTTCTCCAGCAGGCAGGGACCTTAAAACTGGCAAGGTCTGTTGTTCTTTCTGGGGCAGAAACTGCACAACAGTGCTCTGAGCATCAAGGATCTATGCTACACACCACTTCAAGCAGCTTATTAAGCTGGTTAGTGACATAGTTCAGTGTGTCTTGGCTAGAGCTTTGTTGGCTGAGACTGTTTGCTATTAAAGACAAAGGGTTCCATGCAGTCAGGGCTGTGGGGCTTAGCCCTTGATCCAGGAAGTGTTTATTTTCTCAGCAGAGCAGCCAGACACTCATTAGGTACCTGGTGTTCTCCCCTTGAGCAGCACTTGCCCTGCATCGGCTGAACACTCATTACACCATTAACAGAAACAAGTGCTTTGCTACTTCGGGAACATGGTAAGTTCAGAAGTGTGTCGTCCAGCCACAGAAAGCCTTGACTGGTCTCACTGTGATGTACAACAGTAAAACACCTGCCTTCTGTCCTGATGGGAAGTGGGGTGGGGAGAGAGACTACTTGTATGGTCTTACATGGTAATTACTGACACCTCTGTTCCCACATCCAGGAAGGTAACATTTAGGAGCAACTTCTAAAGTGGTCAAATGTAACATTAATTGTTACAGACTCCCTATTCATTTTCCAGGAGTGTTCTTTTGGGCCTGCTACCTGTACAGAAGAGGGGTCACCTCTTCACCATGGGGCAGAGGGCGCAGGGCGGGAGGGAGCTGTTGTGAAGAAAGCACAGTGGTGTTAAGGAAGCTGGGTAATGCAAGGTGTGAGGAAGTAGGTGCACTTTAGGCACACCCAGCTCAGTGACTGTAGCTGCCCACCACGGGTGCTGCCCTGGGTGTGCCACTGCAGCCACTCTAACTCCACTTTGTGCAAATTACATGCTTGGGTTAAAAACCTTCCTGCCACTGAACTCCCCCCTCTGTGCACCATTCCTATGGCTGCTCAAGTACAGTGTGTGCTGAGACTGGGCCTCCCTCTCCTGCTGACGTGCACCCTGGTAGCTGCTGTGACTTGGTATATGCTGGGGGAGGACAGCACTGCTTGGAGAGCTGAGGGCCTCACATGGCCTGCAAGACAGCACTTGCCTCAAAGCATTTTCTTCCCCCAACCCTTTAATCAAGGACATGCTGAGAACCAGCCATACAGAGGAAAACTCATCCTGTTCTGCTTTTAATCTTACTCAAAGCTTTACCTCGTGTCACACCTGCCTGAACCAGTCCAGGCAAAGGTCTAGGAACACTGGGCTTGACTCTGCCCCTGAGGTGCATCTTGGCCACACAGCTAACAGCTCGTTGCTGCGCTGCCCTGGGCTTGGGTGGGAACAACACTACAGCGGCTCTTCAGCAAAACAAGACAGTAGAGATCAAACAGTTATTTAATTTTGAGATACTGTAGTTAAATATGAAGTTATAATTCCCTAAGAGCTGCTACAAAAAAAAAGCACATACAATACCCAGAGTTAAACTGAAAAGCAATTAGTCATTTTGCATGAAACAAACCCATGAACTGCAGCCCTAGGCTAGAACTAACTTTTGTAAATAAAGTGGTCAGAAACAATTAGTAGGGGAAATGATAGATAAAGGTCTGGCTTTTCCTCTCAAAAGTCATTAACATGGAAGCAGAATAGTACCCCATGGTAAGGAAATCCTCCAACTACATAAAGCAGTTAAAAAGTGGAGCTTTCTTAATGTATGGTTTGGGGTTTGTGGGTAAAGGAAACTAAAAACTACATTAGGCTCCAAACTTATGAAAAGTCACTATTTAATTGTAGCTAAGTAGATTCTTAAAAGTCAGTGAAACATCTGTTCCAGGAGTATCACAGTGATTATAAAAAGATCACACAATTTATACTGTAGCAAAATGTCAGGATCCTGCAGTGTCTTTACGGCCATTTATGAGGTGGCATAATTGGCAATAGGCGAGTTTTTAAAATGAAAGCACATTTTAAGTCCTAAAACAACCCCCTCCCAATGTGTAATTTGGTACCTCTTCCTAGAGATTGTTTACAGTCTATTGTGTCAATAACGTTCATGTGCCAATCCTTTTTCCATGGAAAACATCACTGTACAATATTAGAAACAAATTTTCTGTATTTTGTTGCATCAAGCCTAACCTGTGATTTCTCATCTTTCACCTGCCTTGGGAGCACCTCTGCAGCAGAGAGCAAGCCTGCAGCAGCACAGTGGTGGGTAGGTCCCCTTCCCCATCCCTGGCAGTGTTCAGTGCCAGGTTGGACGGGGCTTTGAGCACCCTGGTTTAGTGGAAGGTGTTGCTGCCTGTGGCAGGGGGTTAGAACTAAATGACCTTTAAGGTCCCTTCCAACCCAAACCATTCTATGTGACCCCTGTGTTAGAATGCAATTTCACCCCACAGCTGTAATAGGGTGTAACAGGGTTCCCTTCTCTGCTCTTCAGGAAACTGCACAGTGAACAGACACTTCCTTTGCGCAGGGACACTTGGATAGAATTACTACATCTGGAGAGATGATACAGAGCCATTTAAAGCATGTTAGAAAAGCACTCCAGTCTTGCAAAGCACAGTGAAAGCGTCCACCCTGCACTGCACAGGAGGGCAGGCAGACCCCACAAGGGTTTAGTACTATGCACAGCAATAGGCACTAACAGTAAAACAAGTGAAAGGCAGAAGGGAATAAACAGTGGGATGTTGTTCCTGGAACAAGCCACCCACCCTGGAAGGACACAGTCAGCTTTCACAGGAATGCAAAGTCCATCAGGACTCTGAAATCCCTATAAATGCAATAATGTACCTGTTAGGATCACGCTTTAGTTGCTACAAATAAAGGAAGTATGAGACAAAATGAAGACATTTCCTGGACAGTAGGATTTTGATGAGAAGTCAAATATTGGAGATGTCGCTGCTGCTTGCCAATTAATATTGTTTGCTCAGTTGTCCTTTCAGACCCAAACCCTCTCAGTCTAACTACAGTAGTACTGCATCCTGTTAGTCCGTTGTCTTTTCCGTGACTGAAACTCTTCAAAGAAGTGCTGAATGTCTTCTCTTTTAACCACCTACAGGAAGCAGCATGAAACCCAAGTTGTGCTACACGGATTTAATTAAATGATCCATTTCCCTCCCTACTCCCACATGCACAAAAGCCGGTATCCCAAACCCCTCTGTTACAGCTCGCAAAGCAGCTTTCCTGCTCTACCCAAAGAAGGCTAGTAATGTCCAAATTCCACGGTAAGGGAATACAGAGAAACAAGCTCCCCAAAGGCAGAGCAAGCACATGGAGCAAAGCTCCTGATGGTACTTTTTAATGGCTTTGACCACTTGCTTTTATTGCCAGAAAAATTAACACAAAGCAAGCTTTTTAGGAGCTCACTTTCAGACTCAGAACAATGTAACTAAAAATGGCAATTCAGCAAATAAGCCAACAAAATGCATGTGCTGGTTAGTAACAGCATGCAAACTCCTCCAGGAAAACAACTGAGAAGGCTGTTTGCCAGTATTTAGTCAGTCCTTAGTCTTCTAAGGGTTTAAATTCAACCTAGGAAAAAACATAAAGGTTAAGAGCTTTTTTCCTGAATGCTTTTCGTAGAGCAACGCAAGTTTCATTTAAATTAAGAAGTGCTCTCGGTACTTCTTAGACAGATTTCTGTGAGGTCCCTGTTACAATGTCTTTAAGGAAATGCAACTTGTAAATTCGCATGGAATCAGGGATTTCTTGTTTCTATTGCAGTGCCAGCAATTTTTTCCTGTGTTTCAACAAACAGGAAAAAATTCTTATAGTAGCCTAGTATCCAGCACACACCCCACAACAGTACTACAGCACAGGTTCTGGCAAACAAATTCTGCAAGCTGTGTCTTACCGTTCCCTCATTGGCGAATCTCCTGAGATAGTCTGTCAGTTCTGTCTTCAAATCATTGTATTCTGGATGGAGGAGCGAAGGCAAGGGAAATTAAAAACAAGAAGATGCCCAGCTTTAGTTTAACACTGGCTCAAAAAGACCTTGTTCTACTTATTCTTGTCATTTATTACATTTACTTGAGACAACTCAAGTTTGACCTGGATTATAAACAATAAGAAAGGCAAGTCCAGACAAATATAAGAAGCCTAATGATTTATCAGGCCAGCCCATGCATTCCGAGTTCCTGTTCAGGTTGATCTTCAGAGAAACGTGCACAAGTTCACTGAGTGAATCAGTCCAATCAATCAAGACTGCCCCTGCTCCCAGCTTCCCACAGCGAAAGCACATACGGGTTGTGGTGAGATGTCCTCGCCTGTAACTCAGAACTGAACAGCTACCCTTGCCAGAGTGCAAACTCCTCACTCAGAAGAGAGAAACTGCTCTAGTTATAAAGGACCTCAGCACTGCCTTGTCAATATACTCTGGGCAGAGCTGCCAGGGAGCATACTGCGCCCCAGTGGCACACTGCCTGGCACTCCCCCAGACAACAGGAGATTGCCAAACAAGAGAACAGGGTAAATTAAATAAGCCAGAGAGCAGAAATGTGAATTAATGTTTAAATATTCATGTTACAAGAAATTACTATTGACACAATATCAAAAAATGTTAAATAGGGGAAAAGTTCTCATACCAACTAGATCCTCAATGTAAGTTAAAGTTGTAACAACAGGCCAGAGAGAACAAATGTCTCTAGAGGAATCCTGACTGAAGTGCCATCTGTCATACAGTCTTCTACACGTTGCTTCAAAATCAGCTTGACACTACACTGCAAGACCCAATACTAATCCTTAGGGGAACCTGTTCAGTTAAAGTTTCAAGGCAGATTCTAAAAATGAAGTTGTATTTACCACAGATGAGTTCTACTTGCTGAACTCTGTTCATGCTGTTAAGGGTGTCCATTAAAGGATCTCTCCTCTCTGTTTCTTGGTCACTGGTACCTTTATTTTCGTAAGCCAAGACAGTGTCACATTCATCTGTCAGGAACTGCACTTCAAGCTCTGAATACATTTTCTGGAGAATAAAGTAAAATTTACTTATATGTTACAAAAAATCTGAGATGGAGACGCTCTCCCTAATCCTTTTTGTGTTTAGTATCACAAATAATAACAATAAAAATATTGTAAATTTTGTATCCAGCATTTCAGGCATCTCTCCATCACAATTTCCAAAGCAATACTGGATTTAAGCAGCAAATAACATAGAAACAGTTAGAAGCTCATTCATGCTGTATTAATTCTGACAGATTCAGTGTGTTTCTTTACGTGGGATGGAGGGGAGGGTAGGTATCTATATGCAGAGTAAGAATACTTACACAGATTTTTTCTACAAGCTTCTCTTGTAGATAAAGATCCTCTTGGAGGTCCTCTCTGCCTCCCCCCTGCCAGTGACCATAATGAAGAGAGGATACATACCGAGCAGTCTTCACAGGTGCACAGTTTGCTTCTCCAGTTCAGTGGCCAAAAGGTGGCACTGTCTTTTTTTAAAAATGGCTTGCTCTGGAGTTCCTTCAACTTGCAGACTGGCTCCTCGCTCTTAGTAACCACCTGAATTAAAATGGGTGTTTAGTGCTCTGTACCATCACTTCCAATACACTCCATTCTTTCCAACATGTGGTTTTCCTTATGCAAGATTCTTCTTTTGTCTCAGACATTTATTTTTCTAAATAACTTACATTACCATTCCATCCACATCAGGATTCTGATGTGGTTTTAGCAGTTTCCACTAGAAATTTCTGCAAAAATTTACTGCAATAGCCATACATGTTTAAAAAAAATCAGAACCGGACTATCATGCAAATGCAGCTACAAAGCATAATATCCCTGTATTAGAACAAACTCAGCAAGTGCCCCAGTGTAAAGGCCAGGTGACTGACAGGAAGGGATGGATCTGTCCTATTGGCAAACAGACACTATGCCCCTGTCAGCCATTTCTACAATGGTGTTCCACAGCCTACACTGTGCTCCACAGAGACCACACATTTAAAGTATCAGTGACTGGAGAGGAACATGGAGACAGATTGAAAGCTTTTAGCTGTTCACTGAACCTATACAGAAGGAAGTGGGCTTTGCCTCAGCTACCATCAGCATGAAAATGAACAGGACAGAAAAAAAGGTACATTTTACCTCTGGACAGGCAGACCCAAAGCTAGTGGAAGGCTCGTTAAACTGTTCTGTTTGCTTTTCTTCTTTCATTTCCTGGTGTTTCACTCCACTTTCTTTTTTTATTTCTTTTTTCTGCTCTTCACTTTCCTTAACCTTCAGGAAAAGCCCTTCACCTTCAAGGGAGTTCACTTTGGTCAAAGTCGGAACTGGAAGATACGTACCCATGTAAGTGAGAATACTGTGCCAGACAACATACTGGCTATCACAGACATACTTTCTGCTTTACACTGCAGTGTCAAAGAGCGCCTAGATCAGCTCATGCACTGCAGGGTCCTGGACGTACTCTACAGCTGCCCAAAGACACGGTGACCTAGGCAGACAAAGAAACCGCTCCCTCTTTCACCAGTTATCTTCACCTCTTGGACTCCTATTCTAAAACACTCCGCTTCACAAAATCTGTATTGTAGGAGAGGGACAATTTGAGATAGTTCTGTACTAAGATGCTTGTCTGCCTTGATGCCCCTTGATAGCTATTGCCGATTCAGTAGCTGTCACATATATTTTGCTGACTTTGTGTCAGAGTCCTTCATTTCCTCCAGACACACGCCTCAAAAACTTCATGACAGATTAACTACACCAATTCCTTCCTTATTTAAAACAAGTTTTTCTTTTGGGGGAATTCAAATGTGTGCCCTGTGATATAGCTGGTTAGAAACAGAAAAACTAAAAAAACCAAAATCCCCATTCTGTACTATATTTACATTAGAGGGAACAGAACTCCAGGTAGGCCATCTTGGAATCCTTAAAATTGACATCGAAATTTCTGGCACATAAGAGATCAGTTATCAGCTAATATAAGCAACGTTTAGCAGACCCTGTGAAAACAGCTCTTTGCACAGAAATCAAGTCATCTACCCTTCTGATCCTGCAGAGACCACATAGCAGACAGAGGCCTGCAGGGAACGTGTCCTGAGCACAGCCCCAGCTCTACCCAGCTTAAGGTTTTACACATTCATTCCAGGTCACTTGTCAGTCATTCTTTGCTGCTCAGAGCCTCTTATGCTCAGCTGTTTGTCTCACTGCTCCCCTTAGGATGACTCTTCAATTCTCTGATCCAGTTTAGAAATTAAGTTCACTAAAACAAGTACTAAATCTTCAGCTATCTATGTGCTAGCACATCTTTGATTAGATAAATGAGTGAGCACCACAGAACTAAGATTTAAGAACGAGAAATACAGAACAGTCTGTGGAGTCCTGCATGTTCCACTGCTGAAGGTGACCAATATATCGAGTAGAATTTCTCCAACCACTTAAACAGTATTAAGTTATTAATCACATACAACAAATACATGCTAACCAAATATTGGCTCGGATATCTCAATTTTCTTTACCTGCTAACTGTGACGCATAAACCCAGAGGAAATGGCAGTGATTCATGCAGGCTTGGCATACCATTTCATGGAAGTCTCCACTTTCAGGGGGAACCACACCAAGATGCTGTCAAAATGAAACAAGGATGTAGCAGTGAAACATTTGCTGCAAATTAACACTCAATTCTAGACTTAGAGGAAGTACAACATCAACTGCTGTCACAGTTTCAACACAGTCATACACTCCTGCTAACTCTACAATTACCAGTATAATTTAAAGACTGAAAAGAGCTGATAAAAATTCCAAGGAAAACCTGAAATAATTATGTCTTTGTCTACACTCTTTTATGCCTTCTACACATTCAGAAATCTCAGTCTTATCTCATTTCTAAACAATATTCTTCTACACTGTCCTAAAAACAGGATAGGTGAAGATACCTCTTGCATACTGGCACATGTGAACTCTTAAATAACTTTTTATGATTGCTTCCTTATGTGCAAGAGATTTTAAGTCTTCATATTGGTCACGTAATGCCCTTGGGAAGAATTAGGTCCCAAAGCTCTCCATAAATTGGTGAGAAATATTTAGGCAATTAAAAGTGTTTAGTGACTTTCTTTTGAAAAGCATTCTTCAAGGCTCACAGTGAACAGCATAACATTCATCATACACACATTTACACAAAAGAATCCTACAGTTTAACTACAGAACCCATAATTGAAGCCAATCATCTTTTCTTTAATTCTTTGATCCTGCAACTTCAAACACAGAACTTCACTCGCGCCCTTCAAGGCATAAGGCTGAATCCTTAATGCTCACACATTAAGTAGGGCATTCACTGAAGTGCTGAGCTGCTTTTAAAAGATTTCTCCAAAGTTTGTAATCATGAACCAACAGCACAGTTTTTCCTTGCTACTTAAAGGAATTACAATTTAAAAAGCATTCTTTTGCATGAATAACTGTTTGGGTATTTGATAATAATGTGCCTCAGTAAGAATCTTTTGCTCACCAATTGCACTGATTAGAATTTTCTAGTTAAAGAGACAGTTACAAAGTTGTTACTCTATTCTGCAGCAGTAACCTTCAAAGAGGTAGAACTAGAGAGGACAGCAGCACAAGATTAAACTTTCAATATTCCTTTGCATAAGATGAAAAGAAATACCCCAGAACTCCTGTAATAATCTTTTGAGAACTAAAGCAAACCTTTTAAAATAAGAATAACCATACAAACTTAAATGACACTAACTTATTTCTATGCAACTGGCAATTCTGATACTTATAGTTTCCTTACCCTTCCATGGAACCAGTCTTCACAGACTATGCACTGGATCATCTCATCTGGAATCTAGATGAACGGTCATATTATTAGCATTAACAGCAACTTCTAGAGTCTTTCACAGGCCCCAAATGAGAGTATTATGCAAAGCCTGCTCAAGTGAATTGCACTTCCCTCTTCACCTATCCACAGGGAGCTGCCATTAATAAGTAGTTAACTGCTTCATTAGTCAGTTTGCTTCCCTGAACTTCAACAGCATATGTAATTTGTTGTTTATCAAGACTGTGGAAATTCCCATTTATTATTACAAAACTTGTTTTCCTTTTAGAACACAACATTCTCACAAAAGAGCTGATAAAATTTAATACACTGTTGGCATCTTTCTTCCAGTAAAGAGAAATGCATTAACAGGCAGGTTAGCAAAAGAAAGATACTGATACCCATCATGTTATCAGGTTTACAGAGGAACACCAGAGTCCTAACTTAACTAGCCACAACACAGTACAACACAAACTGCTCGGTCAGGAAACAATTATTAATGATTTCTTTAGAAATGTTTAGTTATCATCTCTGAACTTCAGAGAGGTGAGTTTGTAAAATACTTTTTGTATTTACAGGACTTGCTCCTTCCTTATTCTTTAAAACACCTGATTTCTATGACTGCACACAAAAGTGTGCGTGTGCAAACCAAGTGGTATATTTTAATACTTCAGATGGACAAAAAGTATTGTGACTACCATAAAGGAAAGCTAAAGCCAGTGCTACAGGACAGACTCTCCCTATCACAGCAGCCTTGTCAGAGCACTGTTGCAGACACAAGGAAGCAGATTATGGTTTCTCCTAACATGTGTAATGTGTTTACTGGTCTCCTGCCACATTTCTTAAGATGATGAGAACCCTCCCCCTAAGGGAACTCCATATAGAGGAGTCTCTACTTTATAGAGAGGAAAGCAGAGAGAACTGCAGCATTTTCTCCAAATGATGGTTTGTCCTCTTCATCTGTCCTTAAGGCATAAACATATTTTACCATTAAAAAAAACCTCATAATTACTGTATATATGACAACCAAGAGTAATACGGAACATAAGATTTCTTGAAATGGGTTCTTTGCTGTAAAGCAGCTCAGAGACAACCCTTTGAACAATACTTTGCATAAATACCATCTATATATGATTACTATCGGCTTTTGTATTTCTTACCTCATCTTCAGGATCAGGATAAGGTCTTTTACATGTACAGTATAATCCATAGAAATTGTCATTATACTTATTTCCTGCATTCACCTTGCCCTTTTCCTAGAAGGAAAAAAAAATCTCAGTAAACAATGCAGTGAAAAACAAGACTGAAAATATACATAATCTAGAAATAAAACCCCAAACAAACATTCCTGTTGCACTTTAATTCCTAAAAGCAATAATTATACTCATCAGCTTGAAGATCCAAAAAGAAAGGTACTATCCAGACACCCTATGCTATACAGTGAGCAGCAGACAGGGCATGCAGGGAATACTGAAGTTCAAAAGGAAAACCAGTCTCTTCACCTTTATAATAAATGGCAACTATGGTGTTTGTTAAACTACTGCTACTCCAGAACGATGTAAGAGTTCTGATCACCAGCTATGCCTACCTGCTGCATTATAGCAACAACTGTAGATTTATTGTTCACCTTCCCCTCCATTTTTTTTTAACATCCAGATTGTGATCCAAACCTGACTCTGCTTAATCTTACCACTGAGCTTCCACTAAATTTGTGTCATACAAACCTCATTCTACAGGACAGAATTATCTAAATTACAAAACATGCTGAATGAAACTCAATTACAGGTAATTCCATTAAAAAAACAAACAAATGAACAAACAACCCCCCCAGCTAATACAGCTGCAGCCAGAGGGCTTCAGAACCACATGCAGTTGCAGCCTGAAGCCACCACTAGCCCCTCCAGAAGAGCTGTGACCATTTATGACGTCACTACAAACCACTTTCTACCACTATTGTGACAAAGACAGGACAGGGGATATGAGCACTTGGCACCCGTAAAGTCAGACAGGTAAATAGGTGGATGCTGAAGGTCACTTAACCAGTACAATTGATTTTGCACTGAACTGAAGGAGGAGGACCAACCACATGATCCATTTCACTGACTTGAATTAGAAACAGTAACATCTTAAAATCGTCACAGGTGTCTCTGTAGGGATCACTGGACTATAGCCCTGTGCTGACTAGCTCTGGATCCATCCCAGTTCTGCCAGAACAAAATGGGCATACACAAAACCACTGGCCTGTTTGAACTGTTACTATCCAGGGAGCAAGACAAGTTGTTGCTGTTTTTCAGAGTATTATCAACTACTTGACAAGTCCAAAATGCTCAATGAAATGAAAGCACAGAAGGATTAATGCAGTAAAAAACCATCCCATCAGTGGGCTCTGGTGACAACCAACCAAAAAAGATTACAGCATTAATGCCACCATAAATAAGGGGAGTGAACCGTACCTTTGGCAACAGAAGAAGCTTGAATTTCTTTAATGCAACAGCAGAATTACACCTAAAAGCTTTCCCTGAAGCCAGCTTAAAGCCAATGAGATGTATTAGTGCAGGCACCACAACACGTTTCTGGTATTACACTAACCATAGATGCAAAACTGCTGCATTCATGGATGACAATTATCAAATGTTTTCTTTTCTCTCTCCTCACATTTCCCTTTGATCTCTCAACAGGTTTATCTTATGCTGTAATACTCCCACCTTGTTTAACTGGCTGGGAAAAACAGAGGCACTGTGTGTGTCAGTAGTGGCTGAGGCAAGTCACCAGAGTCCCAATACCATCATTTCAATTCTGCATGTACAAAACCCCTATCTGCACTTACTGGCAGTAACTTGCACTGCAGATTTTTGAACTTGCTGTTTCCACAGTCACAGCGGAAGTTCCTGGAAAGAAAAGCACAGTGTTTCAGGTGGGTTTATTAACAGAAAACACATCAGGTTTTGCATTCATAAAGATTCCCAGAAGTTTATTAGAAGACATAAAAACATTCTTGCCGTGCTTAAACAACAGCATCAGTCGGAAGTGGCCTTACCCTCTCACAAGGTGTTCTCAACAGATCTCTCAGCTAAGACCATCACTGACAGCAGCACTAGGCTGGGCGGCCACAACGGTACAGAGCTAACCCTGGATGCTACAACTGCCCCACTTAAAATCACAGTCACGAGTGCTGGTGGAACAGGAGCCTAAACTGCTTCATTTCCAAAAACTGGATCCATGACGGTGATTAAGCTCTTGTCTCCTACCCAGACACCCTAAGCTCTCACTTAAACAGGGCTGGTGTGCCAAGAGAAGGGGAAGGTGGGTACCTCGGTGACCTGACCTCAGTTGCCAGTGCAGCTTTGCTGGGAGTGGTGCGCTTTGTGCGAGTTGCCCTCTCTCACCGAAGCGTACCAGAGAGCGGAGGTGACCCTGGTGAGATCCCCCAGCCAGCTCAGCTCACCCCGGGTCCAGAGGGGCAGGACACCGGCGGCGGTGGGCGCACACCGCCTCGTCTTCCTAGCCCTGAGGAGCCGGTTCGGTAGGAGGCTGCCCAGGGCCGCGCGGGTGAGGGGGCTCGAGCCGCAGCGCGCTTCCCGCCGCCCGTCCAGTCCCGCAGCGCCCCGCGGTACCTCTTGGTGTAGAGCTCGAAGAGGCGGTGGGTGCCGTGGCACTCGTAGCTGCAGGCCAGACAGATCCCCGCCGGCTCCCCGCCGGGCGGCGTGCAGGTGCTGCAGGCGTACAACGCCTGCCTCTTCACCGCTCCCTATGGGATGACACCGACGCGAGATACAGAGGCCACCGGGGGGTCCCTGTCCCAGACCCCGGGCGGCCCCGCCCCCGGCCCCGCCCCGCGCGACCCCGCCCCCACCTGAGAGTAGCTGCAGCGCTCGTGGTCGCTGCCCCCCAGCACGGCCCGCGCCTCCTTCTCGAGCTCCTCGTTCTCGGCCAGCACCTCCGCCAGGGAGACCACGGGCTCCTCCGCGCCGCCGCAGCCGCTCCCCGGCTCCGCGCCCTCCGGCGCCGCCGCTTCCATCGCCGGGACGCGAGGCCGAGGGCGAGATGAGGCGGGAAACAGGCGGCCGAGGCACCAGGGGGCGCCACAGCGGAAGCGGAACCGCGGGCCTCACGTGACCGTGGCTGCGCGTGATCAGAGAGAGCGGTGAGCAGCGGTCGCGCTGCCGCGCGCACGTGATCAGTGGGCGGGGCGGGGCCGGCCGCGCGGGCTGCCCGCGCTTCCGGGCGGTGCGATGGAGCTGGTGGCGGAACTGAGGGGCTGCGACGGCGAGACGCGGTCGGTGCGAGTACCGCTGCCTCACCTGACGGAGCGGGGCGAGGCCGGGCAGCTGCGCGGGCTGCGGCAGAGCCTGGCCGAGCTGCGGGAGCGGGTGGTGGAGCTGTTGGCGCCCTTGGTGCAGGCCGAGAGAGAGGCGGCGGGTGGCGGCGGGCCGCGCGGTGAGTGGCGGTGGGGAGGGGACGGAAGCGCGGCCTGGAGGCTCCGCTGCCCTTGGGTCGCCGCCTGCGCCGCGCGCCGCTCATCCGCTCCTGGTTGAACCCCGTCAGGTGACGCCGAGGATGATGACGACGATGAGCAGGAGGAAGATGAGGATGATGAAGGCGAAAATAGTATCGGCACGAAAGCAAACGCCGACGACCCACCTCGAAAGCGGACGAGGGTTCAGCAGCCGTGGTGACGGCACTGGGTACTTGGGTCAGGCCTCTCTAGGAGACATTCTAGCTGCACCGGGTGTGAGGGTGTCCGGGCAGGGCCCGGCGAAGCCTGCGGCACTTCTGTTCGGAAAGCGAAATGTCGGTCCCGACGTTGTTTGCACACAGAGGCCGTAAGAAAAAGATGCACCTTGGTGTCAGCAGCGTGATGCTTGCAGGGAGCCAGTGTTACATTGAGAAGAATTTTTGGTAGACCAGTTGACAAATACAAAACTGTTCTCACAAGTCTTCTGACTGCTACGTTTTTAACAACATTTTCTAAGTCATTGTATTTATTCATGCAACTTAAATTCTTATATAGTAAAATCAGGAGTGAGTTATTTTGTCAGACATGATCTTAAAATGGTACAGCAGAACTTTTAATTTGTATGGAAAGAAAGCAGTAGAAGACCACTATAGTATTCAGAATTAAAGAACACCTGTAAGACCGTGTCCATTCCTGAGCAGCCCTACAGTGGAAGATTATTTTTATCACCAAAAAAGTTTATTCTAGTCACCCATCAATGAAGTATTTTCCTGGTAAAGGTCATATATAAAATGGATTGAAAGAGTTGGGAATCTTGGTCTCAAAAAATCTTCAGTTTTTGTGACAGCTAGGCAAGTCAGTGTGACTTTGAAAGTTTCTAACATTCCACAATTCAAACCCAGCTGTCTGTCCTAAGCCTATTTTCTCAAAATATTGGGGTTTATTTTTCTTTTTATGCAGCAGTTATGTTTATGTATTTTCTTTCATCATTTATCCAAGCTGATTTTTAGGCTCGGTTCCTAAGTCAAATAAACTGAACAACAGTTCAATGTTCTGCCCATGCAGAACTCTCATAATTATCTATGCTGTTTGCTGTAGTTTATTTTAGAGAGGGAGAAAGTATCAATATTCAAGTAACACCTATGAGTACATTATGTATAACTGCTCTTGCCTGTGTAAATCAGCATCTCCCAATCCCTCTGCTAAGGTAACTCATGATGATAATGCAGCATGTGGAATATCACAGAATCATTAGGCTCATGGAGTAGCTCCTGCTCATCGATGCAAGTCTCCTTGATTTTTTCATCATGCGAGTACACTGGAATTGGGCCTGGAGGAAGTGGTGCTTAAATACTGATGAGATCTCTTTGACTCCCTTCTCTTCTAGGCCCATAGCATTCTACTGACTAGGTCTTGAAGAGCCTGTTAGCTCTCCAGAAATTTATGGTTGTAGTCCTGCTTGCCATTTTGCTTCCCCCACACAGGATCCTGAGTTCCACTATCTCATGATCACTACAGCCAAGGCTGCCCCAACCTTTACACATTCAGCCCATCCTTCCTGGTTTGTAAGCACAAGGTCTAGCAACACACCCTTCCTTGTTGGCTCCTCCACCACTTAAACAAAATGTTATCTTCAGTGATCTGTAGGAATTTCCTTGTCTCTGTGCACTAGGCTGTGTTATCCCTCCAACAAATATCTGGGGGGTTGAAGCCCCCCCTATAACACATGCTTCTTGCAAGGGGAAAGTTGTCAATGCTTCACATATGTTACTTTAATTCCCAGTTTGTTCAGTGCATGCTTCTGTGAACAGGCATAAAACATTCTAAATAGACACTCCGTAGAGCTTACTGGAGCCCAAGAAACTTCTCTAGCAGAAATATACTGACTGGTTTAATAGTATGAAAAGCTTTCTTCATGTTTATATGTTCTCCTGGCAGTTTGTTTATATATTATAGAAACTGAGCAAGTCTTATGGATGGAGGACAAAGTATCGGAATAAATAATGACTTTTTATGAACACAAAATTGCCTGGGTTTCTTTGGAAGGGGCAGGGGTGTGCTGGAACTGAAGCATAGCAAACATACGCTTTACATCTTTACATATTCTTAAGTTCACACACCCATTATTCTGTCGGTAGATATGACAAAGGCATAAATTAGGAGAAAAGACCAACTCTGAGGACTGTGGAGGTTTAGTTGCTGAGGACCTGGGATGAGAGAAAATTACATAAATTAATCCTCATCACTTGTCAGGCTGCAAAATCTTAAAGTGATAAAATGCTTAAAGTGTTTTAGGGTAGATAATTTATCAAAGGAAGTAACATTGAAGGAAGTGGCTTATCAAAATGGAAAGGCAACACAGTACAAAAAAAAAAAAGCCCGATAAATGTATCAAAAGAGCTCCTTCATGCATCCTGTACTTAAAGTGCAGACATCTTCTATGAGCTCTGTTCTGAAGCTTTGGAAACTGCTTGTAGAGCTACATCTGGGAACAGTGTCTCATCCCCCTCCCAGCCACACTCCTGAACACTTCAACAGTAGTGTGAACTGTGGGAGGCTACAAAGCAACATGTAACATTAAGCATGAATTTGCAGTCTTTATATAGAAACTTTGTGTAAAAAGTCCACTGGCACATCAGGGACTGAAAACCTCTGGTCTAAAGCAACAAACCCTAACTAATCAAGCTTAAAGTTATTTCACTACTTCTTTTAAAAGAAAACTACAGTGGAAAAACATTCAATAATTAGATCTTAGTCTTTCCTTTACTTTGTGGGCGAGACTCCACCTGCTCATATTCTGCTGGTGCCAAAAATGCTGGAAGCACCATCAGAGCTAGCTTTCCTCTTCTATTTTCCAGTATTCCTATGCACCAGGTTGACAGGTTATACTAAGTCTCTCCATTACTGCTTTACACCTCAAACTCAAATCCTTACAGACACAGCATTTGCTTGAATTAGACTGTCTTTCTGTAATTAGTTGTAAAGCTCATGCTCGTCAGCAGCTTTAATCCAAAAACAGCCTTCTAGTGGGAAAGTCTACAAACACAAGCCTCCATTCTGTAAGCCACCCCTGCAGCCAGCACATGCTCCACATCCAGCCAGCTTGGCTCATCACATGAGGCACACTGATGAATTTACTAAAGGCCATGTGCTTGCACAACAGAAACTTACGCACTTCTTCCTATCATCTTCTATTTCTGATGCTTCCTCTTACATTGTTCTTAAGACAACTGCTGAGTTTAAAACTTACAGCATCGAGTTAAAAACATAGTCCAGCCAGTGGTACCTCCTTGTCACACAAAGGTAGAAAAAAGACAAAAGGATTCAGTTTCATCCAGCCACCCCCACGCTAAAGACAAGTAATTAGGGCACAGAGCATAAAAAGGCAATGAAAAAAGATCAACTGAACATACACACTGAGGGAAGAACAGAAGAGTAAGCTACAGCAGCTGACTGCCAGCACTGCTATCTTGCAACAAACATAAACAACAACAAAAAATAAAGCCACTGGTATCTATGGGCATTAACAGACTTCTGTTTATAAACATTGAAAAGTTTTTATTTTATAGATAAATAGGATGTTGATTTTTAAAGTTAGGAAACAACACAACTTAAAAGCTCTGACTCCCAAAGATACTGCAAGTCAGAGTTTATTCTTACTTCATCATATTAAGATGGCAGCTTCCTCCTTTTCATATTGCACTTAGAACTTAAAACCTTCTTGTAAAGGCTACATTGTTTTCAGGTCCTAGCACCAATGCTGGGGTTTGAAACCAGTGTCTCAAAATACCTCCAAATGCAAACAAAGTTTAAGGTGGTGTAACTGCCATGCTTAAACACAGCAACACTGAAAACAGTGTTCTCTTTCCAAAGTAAGAGAAGGCTGGTATTATCCTCCAGGGTTCCCTTAGTCAGAAATGGATTAGCACTTGTCATGATTAGGTACAGACAATCACACAGAATTGAAATTATAGTTGAGGAGTTTAGTTCATAATCGTTCTGCGCCTACTGCTTTTGAAGAGCATGTTTTCACTGTTTTCACATTTGGAAGCTTACTTCTATCACGGCTGGCTCAAAACTTTAGTTATTCTAAGAAGCAGCAAATAAGGACAGGAAGAACAGGTTCAAGACTGTTTAAAATACACAATCCAGTAGTTAGAATCAAATGCTATGCCGAAATAGCACTGAAAAATAGAGTTTAAAACTATGGTAAGAAATCTCAGTGAAACTTCAGTATGACTGAAGCAATCTGCATTCACTGCAAGAATGAGAAGGTCTCATTTCTTCAAATTTCTGAAAGAAATATAATTGCCTGTCCTACAACCTGTTTGTAGCATCCTCACAAACTAAAACCAGCTAACCTTCCCAAATTCAGAGTTTTTCCTAGTACATCAGTGCTCCCAGAACAGTTTTCCACCATGTCTGGAGTGGAATTAGTATGGCAGTAAATTCCAATCACTTGCAATTTTATCAAAGGAGATTTCTATAGATAGGAGAAAGAAATACAAATGAAGCTTTGTGCAGACTATAGCAAGTATCAGCATAAGCTGCTTTTGACATCATAGGAAAAGAGATTAAAGCACCAAGCTTCAGGCCTATGCCAATACTCACTGCCTACCTACTAAAACATGGCACTGTTGTGGTGACTGAAAAAAGTCTGCTACCACAGGAAAAACAAAAAAAGCACCTTTTTCCCTTCAAAGGTTTGCACAAACTTTATTCTTTGCTTCCTGTATTTATAGCTAAACTTATTAAAAAAAAATCATTAAAAACCAGCACTGATGTAGGTATTACTTAAAAAAAAAAAAAATCAAAGAATTGTGATTGCGTTAAGTGCAGCTTTTATAATCATATTCTGATTTTGTTTCTTTTACATTTACCACAAAAGAAGTATCTTTTCATTGATTTTACTCCAAGGGAAAAATGACTTTTTTTGCTAAGAGGAGTAAAGTCATAGACCAGAAACTTATTTCCCCACAGGATGTTTCAGATGGAGTGCTGCAATTTTGCATCATTAAGGCAAAACGAGGAATACTTCCATCAAGTGTCACATAGGGTGTCCCACTCTGGCCATCCCAATAGACCCATATTTAAAAACCTTTAAAGTTAATTTTTTTAAATAGAAAACAGTCACTCTCTTCATTGCTTAACAGTACGAAAGAAAAGGATCTTTCCAGCCTTCACTCAGAACTTCAGTCTTGCGATTAGATCAGGCATATACAATTGCTTCAAAACAGCTACAGAAACTAGAAATTGAGCTAAGTGTCAATCAGTTGTAATCTACTGATTTGATT